AATCGCGCAATGCAATTGAACCATGGTAAAGACAATGATAAATGAACTGAGAGCTGACATGCCCCATGCTTTGTGTGTGTATGTGTGTGTGTGTGTGCGTGTTTTTTTTTTTTGGCGAGTCGATAAAAGTGGTTTTGGACACTGGATGAGTTTTTAGGGGTGTGGTGAGGGGGAATGTAATTCCACAGACCTTCTGTCAGATTCACTAATGCAGTAGGTCTGTGCGGTGTTTAGTTATCGGAGCATTCTTTGAAAGTCGTGAATAGGGCCACCGAGTACCTAAAGCCGTGATATTCCCCCACAAAAAAATTCTTTTAAATAACCGGGGATAGGTACATGAGCAGAGTAAATGCTATTACGAACGCCTATCACAATGCTGAACGAATAGGAAAATCCATAGATGGAGAATTGTGCCGCGTTACGGGTGCTCGGGCGCAGCCAATCCACCGTTACCCCAGCGGTGACCTTGACCCGCATCGTCTGTCTCGGCTCCAAAGCCAAACCGGCGTGGAATTGGGAGCGTTCGAGCACTCATGGTCCAGCGCAATTCTCCACCTAAATCCATTCCTGATACACATTTGCTTGCTCATAGTCATGTAACCCCGGTAAATTCACCCAACTTTCATATTGGTCGCTCCATAGACAGATGGCCACAGAGATCAACTTAAAAGGCCATTGTTGCATTCATTTAGTGGAGATCATTAACCCGCGCCCGGCTGCGTATTCGCGAAGTGTATTACACGAATCGGCCCACCAACTAGCGACATCTCTAGTGCGACGTCATAGCCATCCGACGCGACAATGCATGCATTGAGGCTATAGATTTGAGTTGATACTTTTTTGCAATTGTATATGGCTAACCATGACTTCATGTGTCGTCGTAGCCGAGTGGTTAGAGTCTCGGTGTAGTGATCGAAAGGTCGGTGGATCGACTCCTGCTTTAGCGGTTCTTTTCTCTTATAAAGAAGTCGGTCGTAGACACGCATTTTTGGCCCCTACATTCGCACGCCAATATCTTACGCTCAATAAATCTATGACAAGTATTCATCTGATTAAGGAATATGTTGCAAAAGAACTGCAGTTGCAGTCTATACCTGAACTACCAATTTTGTTACGGTACTGTCGATATTCGTCAAAGTCGGAAGAGCTATTATGAAACACACTCGAATGACGACGGATTCCTGTATTATTTCATCGATCAGATAAGACATGTATAGAGATAACTTGATGACAGCTCGCCGTGAGCATGCAACTTAACAATCAGTCCCAAGTTATCTTCATAAACGTCTAATATAAATCTTTTTGACTTTAACTAGATTCCAAGCAAGGGGATTTAGGTATCCCCTGGCGGCTGAAATGTAAAAGTTATAGTTAGGGCATAGCTCCTATAGATGACGCTCTTTTGACGGCTGGAAATTGATAATCTCGTCCCGTGATTACGCTAACAGCTATGCCGAACTTTTTTTGTGCATGGTGATTCTTACACGAAAAACTATCTAATAGCCTGCTCACCAGCGTGCGATTTTTACCTTTCATCTTAGTTTTCGCTACTTTTAGGTACTTTACCTTGCCAAGTGCCCATCTACTTTCAAAAGGTCAGCGCCGCCCCTGTCATATCCAGCAGGAGCTGCGTGCTATCACCCATTGGCAGTGAGAAATATTGATCAATGGCCATCGCCCAGCACCATTTGTCTTTCCATTGGCTACGTTCGCATAGTACTCGTATGCACTATGCATTAGTGATGTCAATCACAGAACAGAAAGTCAGAAAACCGATACCAAACCAAATACAAACAAAGACCATTGGAAAATACCGAAACCGAACCAATAGGATGGACTGCAAATATTTCTCTTATGCAACATATTCATTAGAAGAATGCCTACCTCTGAATTCTTAGGTGCACGCCGTTGCAAATGTATAAAAAAGAAACGCACAATGACAGATGACACGAAAATTGAAGTCGCCGAGTGGATTCGAACCACCTACCTCCGTATCACCAGTCCGATACGCAAACCACTTCGCCACGGCAACAACAAATCCGCAGCAGCTTAAATGTCCTTAATATAAAACCTAGCTTCAATAGACGCCACCAAGGGCGAGGACCGAACGTATGACGCCACACTGACGTCACTCAAGAGGCACGCTATTAGTCGGCCGATTCGTGTAATACACTTGGCGAATACGCCGCCCGGCTGGGGGTCCTGGATTTCCACGCCCTGCTGGGGGGGGGGGGGGTGTTTGAACACCCCCCCTTCTAACTCGGCTCCTGGGCCACGTAGCGATACGCGGAAGGCGGCGTTCGAAAGAGCGTCAAAAATAATGACGAAATCACTTCGGTCAATTTTTTGGTCAGGTCAAAGGTCAGGTCACCAGAGGCCATTGAAGGCAAAATTTCGCCGATTTCCAGGTCGAATGTCGAAAATTTCCAAGAAGCCAACGCATAACTCGGGAACCAATAGAGCTAGAGCGCCGCGGAAAAGCGCATTCGATAGCCCCATTAACGCCCTTTCTGAGTAATTCTCTCAGATTTGACCTAACGTCAACGGTTTTGCCTGCAGGGGGCAAAAACTGCAAAAATAGCCGATTTTTTCGGAAACAGTTTTTCTGCAATAACTTTTGACCCAAGCCTTGTACGAGCTTACTTTTACCGGCATCGTGTTCCTCTCGTCAAGACGCATCAAATGAACTATAACTTGACCTTGAAAGGTCAACTTGAAAATTTGACCTCAGGTCAAGGTCATGACCTGACCAGAAAGGGTCATGTTGCATATCAGTCGATCCGTATCGTCGAGCTGAACACATCTAAGGTGTTTTCATCGCTCTAGCATGCCTCTATCAAAAGTTATTTGCGAAAAACTGTTAGATACCATTCGTGACCTAAGATGACCTCAGGGCATAAACAGGGGTCACGGGCACCATTTTCATGTTCAGTGTGTCTAAACCACTTGTAATTCAGTGTTTGGGAGTGTTTATAATGTCTTTCGTCCAAAAGAGACGCATTTCAATTTTCTCCCATTGACTTATAATGGGGAGGTCGCAAAATTGACCTGACCTTAGGTCATCGATATCAAAATTCTGAGATATACATTTTGTACATGCTATTGCTCTTAGCAATCGCTGAAAGTTTCAAAGCGATCGGTCACTCGGTGTAGCTATGACAGACATTGAAACTTTTTATGAGGTGAGGTCACTTCAAGTGACCTGGTGACCTGACCTTGAATGACCTTGGTCTGAAATTTTCACAACATGTGTAGAATTGATGCATGATAAGGTGTACCAAAAACGGTGGCGCTCCGCGCCGCCGTTTTTGAGATATTCGCGAAAAACCACAAGGGGGGGTGTTCAAACACCCCCCCCAGCAGGGCGCGGGTTAAAGAGCCGTGACAGGCCACAAGTCGCGTGACATCATACGTGTAACGACCAATGACGTCGGCCTGCAAAACCCAATGGAAGCGGCTAGCAGCGTGCAATAAAACAGGGCGTTGCTTTCTAAATGTCTGTCGTGCGCCATAAATGAATATATTCTTTGTAGCCTGGCAACTCAGTATCTTTTTTTAACTATTGTACTAGTATTTAATAATTTCATAATTTTATAATTGTGCTTACGCTTTATGTTGATATTAGTGATAAATCCTTAGATAAAGTAAATCGATGTGATATTTAATAGAAAAATAGCAAACTAACGCACCATTCATTCGAAAGCTGGGGAACCTACTAAAAAGAACTACTAAAATTCCTGAGGAACCAAAGGATCAAATGGGGATTAAATAGATGCCTGCTATTCCGTCGTGAAAACGGCCAAAATGAATCATGCATATACAAGTGCAAATGAGGCACGAGGGGGTAATAACAAATATCAGCGTACTGATGAGAAATTAAGAAAACACATAAAAAATAAACACAATAAAAGTAAAGTAAAACAAAACAAAACAAAACAAAAGTGAGATGCCCCGCCCAGACCGTACGGCTAGCGCACACCCGGTGTGTTATCGGCCGTGAGCCGCTCCAAAACGGCTGCAGTAACTGGTCGATGTAGTTAGTAAGCAGATGCAGAGATGCAGGTGGATTGATGACCGGCAAGCTTTTGTGTTTTACGAGGGTGAAGAGTCGAGGTCGGCTACTAAGTGGTGAGCGGATTTTATCAGATGCTGGTTCACTATGACCTTTGTCCGGGTCCTGGTACCCTGACGCACTCTTGGAGAGCCGAATCACAGCAAAACTCTATACACGACTGTATGTATACGGCTTACGCTTTTCTGAAAACGCCTGCGCTTGGCCTTCTACGGGCCCGGCCGGCCTTGATCGGCGGTCCACCAGTGACGTCACCGGTAGTGTTAAACTGATTGGCGAATAATACATGGGAAAAACCGGGACGACATCCCCCTGCATGCATCAAGGATAGTCCAATACTTGGTAGAAGGAATGAAGCTATCCTACACAAATTACCGCATGTAAATCGGTCAAGTGGTTACTGAGATATAAGTCTCGCAAAAGCGTCCGCACGGCCGGCCGGCCGGATGACGCTGAGTGGTGGCATGCTTTGCTGACTTCGATTGTGATCATTATTTTGTTGTGTTTCAAACTTAGGTATCGTTGATTTGTTGCATTGCATTTTTAGCGTACGACTTGTCAAGCCAACAGACAACGCTATTTTCTGACAAACAAAGCTTATATAACTAGGATAGTTCGTTAAGGTGCAGGCCCCGTGTAAAGGCGGACATTTGGCCAGATGGGGATTAGAAGAAAAAAAAACATGTTCTTGATATTATCAAGAGCTTTGGAAACTGCATACGTTCCATGCGCTTATGAGACATTTGTTGCGCGGTGTACCCTCCCTGTATAACGTTCATAAAGTTGGCTTCAAATTCGGATTCGGATTCCAGCACCACATTCGTGGAAAAAATGACAAAAACGGACCCCTCAGAATCGATTTAAACTAACAGGATAGATAGAGCAGGACATGCTTATTATGAAAATAAATCACCTAGGCTTGGCACCCCCTAACAACTGAGGAATCTTAGGTCAAAGTTCAAGGTCATTCTCGGCGGACCCTTTGGATTCTCGTAAAAATTGGTACAACTATAGTCCATGAAGAGCTGATTTCAAAAATATCAGTTTCTTACTTTGGCAAGCAGCACGAACTGATATATAGTAGGTCAAAGGTCAGAATCAAGGTCACGTATGTGTAATACAGGAAGTGGAAGTGACCACGTGGTCAGGTGAGAAAGGAGGACCCCTTAGATTTCAATAATTTTTTGCTCAATGATGCAACCAATGTTGTAGATGCTACTGCTGGTTTTTCTTGTTTTGGCAAGGTCAAACTACGGAGAAATGACGGGTCAAAGGTCAAGGTCATTTTTAGCGGACCCTTTCGATTCACATATAAATTTTTATCCCAATACAATTTTTATTTCTGGTTATTATTCTGCGTATTGTTAGGCTTGGCAGGTCTTAAATTATTTTAGAATATTTAAATAATTTAACCTTTAATTCACCTATCCCAACATGCCTACCGTGCGAGCACCTATCAAAACCTTGATGAAAATAACAAACCGAAAATCCATTTGACCTTGGACGTGCCCCGTGCCGGTGCACTGGCCTTAGGGGTGCTGAAGGACTTGATTTGGTAGGTATAATGTGTTTTGGTGTGGGTTATTGTAATTTTAATGCATTGCACATTGCCTGATTTGCGACACAACTTACAAAATTGAAATAGCAGTCGTAAGTAGTGTCAGTGTCGCAAGTTGACCTTGCCTTGTGGTATACCGAATAGGTCACAGGTCATTCCGGTCATTGCCTCGAAATTTACGTGGTACCTACGTGTAAAATTGTTTGAACTTGAGATCCTGAAAATTTTGTTGCAATCCGTTGATGCTAATGCAAGTTATAGAGCTTGAACTGACAGGTCGTCTATGCGGCCTCCATCCTGTCCATCCATGCCAGCGAGGCAGTGAGAGTGTTAAAAATGGTCCATAATATGCTATTTCACATTTATTGGGGTATTCAGGGATTGGAAGTAGCCTAGCACCATTCCAGCAACTACTGGCGAATCCAGAAAGGTGGTCTAAGGTCTTGGATGTTGCAAGGGTCATCCCCCAAAATTATCCCTCCCCCCAAATTCTCCTGATTCCAAAAACGTGTCCCAGATGACCCCCATGACCTCCAATGAGCTCTGTGATGACCCCCAAGTTGACCTTTTTGACCTGACGTGTCCCAGATGACCTCCGTGACCTCCAATTTAGCTCTGATAACTCGAAGCTGACCTCTGTGACCTGGCATGTCCCAGATGACCTCCATTTGAGCTCTGTGATGACCCCAACTTGACCTCTGGGACCTCATGTGTCCCATATGACCTCTGTAACCTCTAAGTGATCTCTCTGATGACCCCAAGCTGAACTCTATGACCTGACATGTCCGAGAAGATCCCCAGTTGAGCTCTGTGATGACCATAAGTTGACCACTGTGACCTGACGTGCCCCCAAGTTGCCCTTTGTGACCGACGTGTCTCAGCTGCCTCAGTAGTCAGTGGTCTCCAATTGAGCTCTGTGATGACCCCAAGTTGACATCTGTGACCTGATGTGTCTCATATGACCTCTGTAACCTCTATGTGACCTCTATGATGACCATAAGTTGACCTATGTGAGCTGATGTGTCCCAGATGACCCCCTTGATCTCCAACAGAGCTCTGTGATGACCCCAAGTTGACCTCTGTTACCTGATGTGTCTGAGATGACCTCCTTAACCTCCCCTTGAGCTCTCTGATGACTCCAATCTGACCTCTGTGACCTTAGGTGTCCCAGATGACCACCAATTGAGCTCTCTGATAACCCCAAGTTGACCTCTGTGACCTGACATGTCCCATATGACCTCTGTGACCTCTAAGTGACCTCTCTGATGACTCCAAGTTGACCTCTGTGACCTGACGTGTCCAAGATGACCCCCATGACCTTCAATCGAGCTCTATGATGACCCCAAGCTGACCTTTTTGACCTGACGTGTCCCAGATGACCTCCGTGACCTCCAGTTTAACTCTGATAACTCCAAGCTGACCTCTGTGACGTGACGTGTCCCATATGACCTCTGTGACCTCTAAGTGACTTCTCTGATGACCCGAAGCTGACCTCTGTGACCTGACGTGTCCCAGATGACCCCCATGACCTTCAATCGAGCTCTGTGATGACCCAAGTTGACCTCTGTGACTTGATGTGTCCGAGATAACCTCCTTAACCTCCAATTGAGCTCTGTGATGATCCTAAGCTGACCTCTGTGACCGGACGTGTCCCAGATGACCCTCAATTGAGCTCTGTGATGACCCCAAGGCCCAGGTTGACCTCTGTGAGTTGACGTGTCCCATATGACCTCTGTGACCTCAAGTGACCTCTCTGGATATTCCAAGCTGATCTCTGTGACATGACATGTCCCAGATGACCTCCAATTGAGCTCTCTGATAACCCCAAGTTGACCTCTGTGACCTGACATGTCCCATATGACCTCTGTGATCTCTAAGTGACCTCTCTCATGACCCCAAGCTGACCTGTGTGACCTGACGTGTCCCAGATGACCTCTGTGACCTCCAATTGAGCTCTGATGACTCCAAGCTGACCTCTTTGACCTGATATGTCCCAGATGACCTCCAATTGAGCTCACTGATGACCCCAAGTTGACCTCTGTGTCCTGACGTGTCCCATATGACCTCTGCGACCTCTAAGTGACCTCTCTGATGACCCCAAGCTGACCTCTGTGACCTGACGTGTCCAAAATGACCCCCATGACCTTCAATCGAGCTCTATGATGACCCAAGTTGACCTCTGTGACTTGATTTGTCCGAGATGACCTCCGTAACCTCCAATTGAGCTCTTTAATGATCCTAAGCTGACCTCTGTGGCCTGACGTGTCCCAGATGACCCTCAATTGAGCTCTGTGATGACCCCAAGTTGACCTCTGTGACTTAACGTGTCCCATATGACCTCTGTGACCTCAAGCGACCTCTCTGATGACTCCAAGCTGACCTGTGTGACCTGACGTGTCCCAGATGACCTCCGTGACCTCCAAATGAGCTTTGATGACTCCCAGCTGGCCTCTGTGACCTGATATGTCCCAGATGACCTTCAATTGAGCTCACTGATGACCTCTGTGACCTGACGTGTCCCATATGACCTCTGCGACCTCTAAGTGACCTCTCTGACTACCCCAAGCTGACCTCTGTGACCTGACGTGTCCGAGATAACCCCCATGACCTTCAATCGAGCTCTATGATGACCCAAGTTGACCTCTGTGACTTGACTTGTCCGAGATGACCTCCGTAACCTCCAATTGAGCTCTTTGATGATCCTAAGCTGACCTCTGTGACCTGACGTGTCCCAGATGACCCTCAATTGAGCTCTGTGATGACCCCAAGTTGACCTCTGTGACTTGACGTGTCCCATATGACCTCTGTGACCTCAAGTGACCTCTCTGATGACTCCAAGCTGATCTATGTGACCTCACATGTCCCAGATGACCTCCAATTGAGCTCTCTGATAACCCCAAGTTGACCTCTGTGACCTGATATTTCCCATATGACCTCTGTGACCTCTAAGTGACCTCCCTCATGACCCTAAGCTGACCTGTGTGACCTGACGTGTCCCAGATGACCTCTGTGACCTCCAATTGAGCTCTGACGACTCCAAGCTGACCTCTGTGACCTGATATGTCCCAGAAGACCTCCAATTGAGCTCACTGATGACCCCAAGTTGACCTCTGTGACCTGACGTGTCCCATATGACCTCTGCGACCTCTAAGTGACCTCTCTGATGACCCCAAGCTGACCTCTGTGACCTGACATGACCCATATGACCTCTGTGACATCTAAGTGACCTCCCTCATGACCCCAAGTTGACCTGTGTGACCTGACGTGTCCCAGATGACCTAAGTGACCTCTCTCATGACCCCAAGCTGACCTGTGTGACCTGACGTGTCCCAGATGTCATCCGTGACCTCCAATTGAGCTCTGATGACTCCAAGCTGACCTCTGTGACCTGATATGTCCCAGATGACCTCCAATTGAGCTCACTGATGTCCCCAAGTTGACCTCTATGACCTGACGTGTCCCATATGACCTATGCGACCTCTAAGTGAACTCTCTGATGACCCCAAGCTGACCTCTGTGACCTGACGTGTCCAAAATGACCCCCATGACCTTCAATCGAGCTCTGTGATGAACGAAGTTGACCTCTGTGACTTGACATGTCCCAGATGACCCCCATGATCTCCAACAGAGCTCTGTGATAACCCCAAGTTGACCTCTGTTACCTAATGTGTCCCAGATGACCTCAGTGACCTCCAATTGAGCTCTCTGATGACTCCAATCTGACCTCTGTGACCTTAGGTGTCCCAGATGACCTCCAATTGAGCTCTCTGATAACCCCAAGTTGACCTCTGTGACCTGAAATGTCCCATATGACCTCCACGACCTCTAAGTGACCTCTCTGATGACCCCAAGCTGACCTGTGTGACCTGACGTGTCCCAGATGACCTCCGTGACCTCCAATTGAGCTCTGATGACTCCAAGCAGACCTCTGTGACCTGATATGTCCCAGATGACCTCTAATTGAGCTCACTGATGACCCCAAGTTGACCTCTGTGACCTGCCGTGTCCCAGATGACCCTCAATTGAGCTCTGTGATGACCCTAAGTTGACCTCTGTGACCTGACGTGCCCCCAAGTTGCCCTTTGTGACCGACTTGTCTCAGATTGCCTCCGTGGTCTCCAATTGAGTTCTGTGATGACCCCAAGTTGACCTCTGTGACTTGGCGTGTCCCATATGACCTCTGTGACCTCTATGTGACCTCTCTGATGACTCCAAGTTGACCTCTGTGACCTGACGTGTCCCAGATGACCCCCATGTCTCTCTCTCTTTCTCTCTCTTTCTCTTCACGTGCCGGTGTCGCGGATCCTATAGGCAAATTTTGTACATACCAGTGTTGATCCCCAGTCTCTGACCGGACATGTATTTTCCCTTCCCTTAGGATGCCGGCGGCGGCGACGACAGTGCGCCGGCGCACATCTCTATGGAGGTGGACACGGCGACCCGTGGGCGACCGCCGCTGCCGCGGTTTGCTACAGGTGGCGATGGCCACTAATCTGTTGGAGGAGGCGCCCCCGGCACAGGTCCCAACCGCCGGAGACGCGGCAGAGACCGGGCAGTGGGCTGGCTTCCAGTCGCGATACAACGCGGTCGTGACAGCGTCTCAGTGCACAGGAGCCGCGGCTGTGAACGATTGTTGAGAGACGGCGCGGGGCACCGATAGAAGCTTGTCTGCTAGAGATCAAATCCTGTCTGCTGGTGGTATATAATGCCGCGTAGGCGCTAATGCCGCACTTCTCGCTCTCGATCACCTCCAGCAGTCGCGCGGCGTACCTACGCTCGCTGCTCCTCGAGTAGATGGGGCGGCAGCGGCGCGGGCGGAGCCTGTGGAGGTGGTGGCGAGGGCGACACAACTCTGAAGCTTTGGAAAAAAGCTGATAATACATACTATATAATAATAATACATACTATATAAAAAAATGCTGATAATGCATACTACATACTAAAGCTGATAATACAATATATACGAGCGGAAGCGGCGCGCGCACAGCGCCAGCACCGTGTCGAGATCCTCCGGCGGCCTGCGCTCGTCGCTGAGCGTATGTAGACTACTTGTGTCTTGTAGACAGTAGAGCTCGTCTTGACGGCGAAATGTCATTGTCCAATTTTTCACTGTCCGGCGACCGCGGGATGACATTAACACTGTATGTCACGCCGTGCACATTATGAGCTGACCTTTCCGTGACCTCTCACTGGTAGCCCGGCCCCGCTACATAGCCATGAGGGGTGGTTGTGTCTGTCGTTAGGCGTCCCGGCCGGTCCGCCGGTCCGCCGGCTGTCTGGGTGACGAACGGCGTCCGTGGCGACCCCGCGCGGGACGCACCAGCCGCTGGCTCTCCAGCAAACGGTGCACGACCTGGGTGTTACCCGTTGCCATTATCCATTATCCATTAGCAATCCACATGTGCCTATGTCTGTTTTCGTTGTGAATAAATGTTTGCCTTGACAAGCGAGCTGAAACATCTTTCAATCGCCCAGTGTCATACGATGCAATGCCCGATCACGTGCCGTCGAAAAGGTTATATCTCACTCCACGCTGGGGATCCTAGATTTTCGCGCCTGGTGGGGGAGGGGCTGAACCGTGAACCTCCCAGTGAAGGGGCTGAACAGCCCCCCATCCCCTCGATTTCAACTCAGCTCCTTGACTAGATGTGTTGGTAGTATTAGAACGAGTATTAGAACTCTACCTGAGACGAGGCCACTTGAAGTACCTGGTGCCCTCACCCTGCTGACCTTGAAAGACACGAGCCTAAACTTTTATTAGTGTAGCACAGATGCATGCTAAGGCGTGCCAAAGAACGGCGGCGCTACCGTCTGATCGCTTTCAAAATGACCTCACTCTATTTCTCGTCAAAAGCTGTAGCTTGATCACCAGGGTTCTATATTTACTTTGAAACTGAACACGCCCAGCGCTGGTACACACGCGGAGCGGCTTCACATGCGTATACACTCGGTCATCACATGTGGGCATTACACGAGGCCCGGCCGAACAGAACTTGGTGCCGCTAGCGGCCTGGTAGTGCACGGTCAGGCACGGCTCGAAGCCGACGCCATTGACGACGGCGAAGCGCTCCATGTCCTTGACTAGCTGTGCGGGACCGATGCGGTCCACGAAGCGAAAAGGTCCGCCGGTGAGTGGCGGGAAGCCGAGACCCAACACGCTGGCTCCGAGGTCGCCACGTCGAGACCTGTCAAAATGCGGTGCACTTAAGGCCTACAACTGAGGCAACCACAATCACGAGTCAGGAGTCAGGTTAATGGTGGCAATACGATTAATATAAATAGATTAAGCTAAATAAATCAGGCTATGAACTGAATAATTTGAGTCACATCCACCTTCTCAGCTAGCAATGTGAATCTCTCACCGACGTCGGGCTCGTCTTCCATAGCCTGTTCGGTGAGCCCCAGAAGCCGGGCGCCATCCACAGAGCGGGCGACGAACGCGTCGGCGTACTGGGCCAGACCGAGAGAGCGCAGCCAGCCGCCCACCGGAACGCAGCTCCATTCAGAGACCTGACAAAGAACGGAACGGTCACTCTACCTGTACCATAGCATTGCAATATTTTCACTGTCCACGTAGCCATCGGGAGTCGGTGTGCCGAACCCTACCTGTGTGGTAGCAGCGCGAAGCGGAGCGCTGGGCGTCGGGTCCACCACGACCGGCGCCGGCACTCCCACCGGCCACTGCATCACGGCTCAGTCTTAACAGCCTAATATCAGCAAACATCCGTCTCTAGAAAACCAGCAGCACGTGACGTACCGCTAGTAGCCCTGTGGTGCTCGCAGCAGCGTCAAGCTCTCCTGGCGACCGACGAACAATGGACGGTCAAAGAAAGTGAGGGCAGGAACATGGTCAGGGTGGGATCAGATATACAACTTACGGGAGCTGACAGGAGCTGCCAGGAGCCTACGGCAGCTGTCATGAGCTATCGTGAGCTGCCAGGAGCTGAAAGGAACTTACGGGAGCTGAAAGAAGATTACGGGAGCTGCAAGGAGCTTACGGGAGCTGACAGAAGCTGACAGGAGCGAGGTTACAGCTAGGCGAGGTCACAAAAGTCGGTATAGGTCACAGGAAAACAAACGAATGTCACAAGTAGTCACACGAAGACGACGGGTCCTACGAGGTCACAGGAAGTCAGGCGAGGGTGGGAGAAGCCACTCAAAGTTCAGCGAGATAAAAGGAGGTTGAGGAAAGCTCACGTGGTCATGCGAAGTCTCTAGAGGTCATATGAGATCACAAAGAATCAGTAGAGGTCAGATGAGCTATAATAAGTCTGACGACGCCCCACAAACTCAAACAAGTTTTTTTTCTCGTCGTGAATGACGTGTGACGTCGTGAGTGTGTGAGGGAGAGGTGCCATGAAATAAGCAAATAAGCTGAAAAGCTTTTGCACAGATCCCGGACTGTAGTGTATGATGTCTACACATGTGAAAACATTCAATAAAACCGAGCAAAAAAAAAAAAAACAAGATCACGCATTGTCCTACGGTCGGGGAGGTCACACGAAAGTTAGGTGAGGTCACATGAGGTCATCGCAATCAAGCGGTTTCACTTGCATACTCATGTTACTTCCCCTTACTTTGCGTGACCTCGTGGGTCATCACCCGACAACTGCCCTCCTAAGTGCTCAGATACCTATCCATCTCGCCCCACCTGCGGACGAGTATTGGCGCCGCAGGACCCACCTGGTGAGGGAGGCTCCGTTCGGAACTGGCTCCGTGTCCGTCTCGATCCGGGCTCGCGGCGGTGACCAGCGCGTCCTCTGGCGCGTCACCAGTCGCAGCAGACCCGACGTCAGACGACGCAGCTCTGGCAACGCGGTCTGCATGCGGCTCCAGGTGGCGCGCTGCCGAGAGCGCAGACGGCGTCACGTGGCTCCCGCAGCTGCCACCCGCCACCAGGGGGCAGGCGCCGTCCAGGGCCACCACCAGCTGCTGCAGCTGGGTCCTCCCGGCGCGGCCGGCGCAGGGTCGGCGGACGCAGCGACAGCGCGCCGTCAGCCAGCGGCTACAGCCGGGTCTGCGCCGGCCGGTCCTCGGGCGGCAGCTCGCGGCGCACAGTCTCCTCGGCGGCGGCACTGACATCGCGCACGGCGCGCTGGAGCACTGAGAACTGGTGGAACGACGGGTGGTACCAGTCCCGCGCACGACCGGCACACAGCGCAACGAACTCGCCCGGAAAACGCACACTGTCACACGGTGCATCTCCGTCACTTGATTCGACGGGCGCGTCCTCACATCCGAGAACCGACTGGCGTTCACTGTCAGAAGTTCGTGACAGATTAGTGGCCATCGCCACCTGTAGCAAACCGCGGCAGCGGCGGTCGCCCACGGGTCGCCGTGTCCACCTCCATAGAGATGTGCGCCGGCGCACTGTCGTCGCCGGCGCCGGCATCCTGCGGGAAGTAAAAATACATGTCCGGTCAGAGACTGAGGATCAACACTGGTATGTACAAAATTTGCCTATAGGATCCGCGACACCGGCACGTGAAGAGAATGAGAGAGAGAGAGAGAGAGAGAGAGAGAGAGAGAGAGAGAGAGAGAGAGAGAGAGAGAGAGAGAGAGAGAGAGAGAGAGAGAGAGAGAGAGAGAGACATGGGGGTCATCTGGGACACGTCAGGTCACAGAGGTCAACTTGGAGTCATCAGAGAGGTCACTTAGAGGTCACAGAGGTCATATGGGACACGCCAAGTCACAGAGGTCAACTTGGGGTCATCACAGAACTCAATTGGAGACCACGGAGGCAATCTGAGACACGTCGGTCACAAAGGGCAACTTTGGGGCACGTCAGGTCACAGAGGTCAACTTAGGGTCATCACAGAGCTCAATTGAGGGTCATCTGGGACACGTCAGGTCACAGAGGTCAACTTGAGGGTAGCAGAGAGCTCAATTGGAGTTCATCTGGGACATGTCAGGCCACAGAGGTCAGCTTGGAGTCATCAGAGCTCAAATAAAGGTCACGGAGGTCATCAGGGACACGTCAGGTAACAGAGGTCAACTTGGGGTCATCACAGAGCTCTGTTGGAGATCATAGGGGTCATCTGGGACACGTCAGCTCAAAGAGGTTAGCTTGGGAGTGATCAGAAAGGTCACGTAGAGGTTACAGAGGTCATATGGGACACGTCAGGTCACAGATGTCAAGTTGGGGTCATCATAGAGCTGAATTGGAGACCACGGAGGCAATCTGAGACATGTCGGTCACAAAGGGCAAGTTGGGGGGCACGTCAGGTCACAGAGGTCAATTTATGGTCATCAGAGCTCAATTGGGGGTCTTCTGGGACACGTCAGGTCACAGAGGTCAGCTTGGGATCATCAAAGAGCTCAATTGGAGGTTACAGAAGTCATCTGGGACACGTCAAGTCGCAGAGGTCAACTTGGGTCATCACATAGCTCGATTGAAGGTCATGGGGGTCATCTGGGACACGTTAGGTCACGGAGGTCAGCTTGGGGTCATCAGAGAGGTCATTTAAAGGTCACAGAGGTCATATGGAACACGTCAGGTCACAAAGGTCAACTTAATGGTCATCGCAGAGCTCAATTGGGGGTCTTCTGGGACACGTCTGGTCACAGAGGTCAGCTTGATGTCATCAAATAGCCCAATTGGAGGTTACGGAGGTCATCTGGGACATATCAAGTCACAGAGGTCAACTTGGGTCATCACAGAGCTCGATTGAAGGTCATGGGGGTCATCTTGGACACGTCAGGTCACAGAGGTCAGCTTGGGGTCATCAGAGAGGTCACTTAGAGGTCGCAGAGGTCATATGGGACACGTCAGGTCACAGAGGTCAACTTGGTGTCATCAGTGAGCTCAATTGGAGGTCATCTGGGACATATCAGGTCACAGAGGTCAGCTTGAGGACATCAGAGCTGAATTGGAGGTCACGGAGGTCATCTGGGAGACGTCAGGTCACAGAGGTCGGCTTAAGGTCATCAGAGAGGTCACTTAGAGGTCGCAGAGGTCATACGGGACACGTCAGGTCACAGAGGTCAACTTGGGGTCATCACAGAGCTCAATTGGAGGTCACGGAGGTCATCTGGGACACGTCAGGTCAAACAGGTCAACTTGGGGTCATTACAGAGCTCGATTGAAGGTCATGGGGGGTCATCTTGGACACGTCAGGCCACATGTCAGCTTGGGGTCATCATAGAGGTCACTTAGAGGTCGT